TGTATGGTATAAGTTATAAGCTTATCTCATATGTAACTATGCCACTGAGCTCTTTGACCTGAGATCATTATGAATTCCTACATGATGACCACTAAACTTTAATCTAGTCAAAAATCACCTTTAACTGGGTGATCATAAAGGCTCTAATTGAGTTTAGTAATATTCATATAGATGAATATGAGTGGTGAAAATGAAATTTGTCATTCACATTAATTAAGAGATATTACTAGGTCCCTCAATGAGTAAGACTGAAAAAATATATGATCGTATTACAATGGCAAGGGTTGTTTCATTGTAATAGTTAGTCCACTTAGAGATCGAGAAAGTAATAATCAGGTAAAGGAAAATGATAATTTCATATCTCACACTTAACCAACATATCGCGTGACAAAAGAAATGTGATATGGTTATATAATAAGTTATATCGAATTATCAATCTCCATATAAATTGAGTAGTTGTAATATTTTGTTACAGGTCACTTGTAACTTGTGGGCTAGTAGCATAATTAACCTATTGCCAACTTCATACGGATTAACAGGGTCACACACAAAAATTGCCCAACTGAGTTATAATGTTCAAGTTTATTGAATTTGAAATGTGTCTAGATTCAATGAATGTAATGCTTTATTTAGGGTGAACAAATTATATATATATATATATTTGAATACTTATTTCATATATATATATATATATATATATATAAAATATAAAATTAAAAATATAATCATATATATATATTCGTGTGTGTGTATGTGTATGATATGTGTGTGTGTGTGTGTGTTACGTATAAAATTCAAAATATAATATAATATATGTATATATATATATATTGATATATATATATATATATGTATGTATGTATGTATGTATATCCATGTATAGATAATACAATAAGTATATATGATGATATATCATATCATATCATATTATTATGTTAGTTTTAAATTAGTTTTATATGATAAAATTAATTTTAATAACTAACATGATATAAGAAGATATCATATTATTTTTATAATTTGAATTATGAGATAAATTTAAATTAGATATGATATCATAGATTAAACTTATAAGATAAATTTTATTTTATTTTCATTGGCTCAAGATATAATTTTTGAAATAATTATGATTATTTTTAAAAATTTAAAAGAAAGATAAAAATCCTAATCTATATATAATATACAGAAGAGGACATGCTTCAGGTAAGCAAAATTTGAGAGAGTCTCTTCACGGCAAAACTCTAAGTGCCACAAAAATTTCCTAGAAAACAAAAGGAGCGTTTGATTAACGGATGGACGGACTTAGATATGGAGAATGCTAGCACACTGTTCGTATTAAAAAGCTGTTCGTGTGGATACTATTAGAGAGAGCAGATCTACGTTATCAACTCCTGAGATCCAACTTCTTGAAGACAACATATGAGAACTTCAAAATAAAAAGTAATTTTTTTATTCACCTTGACTTAAAATGAGTTCGATTAGTCTGCAATCGTGATTGAGATTTTAATTTTTTATTCTTCCGCTAGATCTCCCAATCCAACAACATACTCTTGAAAACATCTTTTATAAGTACAGGACTATTTCAAGCATATCTTTTTATAAAATTACAATAAATGCTTGCAATAAACATAAGCCACCTTTTGAGTCAATCAAAAGGGTGCCTGAATTATACCTCAATACAAGCTTCCAATTGCATACAATCAAGCCAAAAATGTTAATCTACAATTAGCATTACACATTTCATCATTTCCAAGTCGTAAACATAAATCCATAACTACCCATAATCTCATAAAGTGCTAAAAACTCATTTCATTAGTTAACTTCAATTTCTATTAGCCTCATTAGTTTCATTAAATCCCAATAGCCTGCCTAAACACATTCTTAAGCCTCTTTCATCTCAACTTAGGATTTTCAAGTCTAGGTTAGCTTAGAATAACAAAACCCAATTTCATAATCCTATCTAGGCTAATCAATGGTTTAGAATCATAAACAACATCCCAATAATCTCATTAAATCCATTAAGTTCGGCCATAGCCACTGCTTATCCAAGAACCATCGTCTAAATCTAAAACCTAAGTAGAAAATCATGTAGAATGAGAAGAGAAGAGTTAGAGAGGCTTATCCAATATTTTACAAGCTCTAATTAGCCTCAAAAGACTCCCACAAGCAAGCCTTAGCAGGGTATACGTTGCTCTCTTCACCTCCCTCTCTATTTCTCTCTACCTCTTAAGGTGTGTTTAATTTGAGGATTTTAGAGAGGAGGGGAGGGCCCCTTCCCTCATTTGGTTAATAAATTTTGGAAGGGAACCCCTCCCCTCCCCTTACATTGCTCCCCTCTAAATTGATGTTATTTAAAGGAGAGCTAATTTTTTGACTATTTTGCCCTTGTTTATTTACAAATAACTCTTATTAGACTTCATTGAAGTCATTAAAATGGCTACAACTTGGCCCTAGGCTTGGACTTTGCTCTCTTAATCAAAAGAAGAAGAAGAAGAAAAATGTAGAAGAGAGTAGAAAGAGAGAAGGGAAGACTTGTCTGCAAGATCACAAGCTCCAAAATGCCTCAAATCACCCCTTAAGAAGAATCCTAGCAAAGCCTCCTTGCTTCTTTCTCAGTCTCCACTCAAAATTTCATTTTTGTTATAACTCGAGATGTAGAACTCAAATTTAAATTTTCTACACGTCTACCACAACACATAGTTTCTATTGTGGCAAATGACACAGTCTGAAAACTCTCACTTATGCTCATTAATTTGGGCCTAAAGCAACCCAATAGCTTTCCAAGCCTTATTCTAAATTTCTTGTAGAGTCCAATAAATCTAAATGGTTATCCAAACTCCTTAATTAACCTCTACGTATCTTAATTACCTAATTGAACTCCTCAATTATTTAATTAAATCTTAGATTGAATTTTTTTGATGTTACAGGAGGGGTCTTAATATTCAAACATTGATGCTACTGTCATTATTATTTTTATGCATTGAAAAACATGAAAGAAGTTCACCTGACCAGGTTAATTAACATAAATAGAGTAAGAAATGATGTTTTTTTTTTTTTAAAAAAAAAGAAATCCAAACCTGCAATAACAATATGAAAGACCCACACACACGCTCGAGCTGGGAATAAAAGACACCTGTTTAGTTTGTGAAAACTTGAATTTTGCAAATGCTAATCCAGGTATATACTACGTCCTAGTTTTAAATCTCAAATCCTAAACTATAAATGGGTAAAGAAAATAGTGAGCACTTTTATAAAGCTATGTTTGATATGAAAGACATAGTTTTAAGAGGATGAAAAATGAAAAATGAAATGACGAGACACTTTTACTTCAACTAACATACAAAATAATAGATCGAATTATTTGTTTGGAGTAATTCTCTGTGTTGTCATTTTTTTAGATAAATCGAATTATTTATAATTTATTAATCCAAACTGCACCGCTACCCTCTCCCTTATCCGTTCCTTCAACTGACATATCACAAAAATAGGTGTAACCGGAAAGTTTTATTAAGTATTAAATTTCTTTGGTAACCATGCAAGAAAAAATAACATCACCTTATTGATAACTTTTATCAAAATACTATATAAATAAATATTGGTATTCCCTCAATTAAAAAATATAAAATATTTTTAATCTTTTAAGGGTAATCATTGCTTTTTTTTTTTAAAATGCCCCCTATTAAATAAATTACTTTATATTTATTTTAGAATATTTATGAGAGTAAATATAAAAAGATAAGATTATTTTAAAAATAAGTAACTACAGAGTGAAATTTAATTAAAAATGCGTTATATTTTTTAATAAAAAGAGCATATGCTTGCCAAATGTTTTCTCCTTTTTTTTAGTGGCAAGGTGTTTCACTCATTACTGGATGAAGTGAATTATCAAGCAATGACAAACCAAAATGTGCTTCACCTTAAAGAAATTAAGTTGATATTTTTCTGAAAAAATAGTTTTAAAATTATATAAAATTAAAATTTTATCATAATTAGTTTTAAATCAATACCTTAAAGCTATTTAAGAAATTAATAAAAAAATTATCAAAAAGTTAAGATATGTTTTGTTCAAATATATTTTTTAAAATAATTTTAACCCATGCATAGTACAATTACTATAATTTTTTAGGAGTATAGCACACATACTTTACTAGTTGTAACTTGTAAGTAGAGCTAAGAATATAAGTCAATTCAAACCATATAGGTTGAAAAAAATATGGGTTGGATTTGGTTCAACTTATTTTCATATGAATTAAAAAAAAATCTCAACCTAACCCATTTTTTTGTGTATTGATAGGTTAAATGACCTAATTCATCAATTTATTTATTATTATTTTATTATTTTTAAAAAAATTATACTTAAATGAGAAGTTCTATTGTGATATTTTACGCAATTAAAAACATTCACATGATAAACACATGAGATTCAATTCCATCACGATTTATTTGGTGCTCAAACTCTCCCTATTTTTTTTTATAAAATAATAAGTTAAATATATTAACTTTAATCCATCAAGATTAACCCATTTAAATGGATTATCTAGTCTAGATTAAAAAAAAAATTTATTTTTATATGAGTTAATATATTTTTCTAACCCAAACCAATCCTTATCATAGGATTCCGGCTAGCCCATAAAACTTTCACCGCTCTACTTTTTAAGTTACAATAAGAGCCGGTGGTATAAAGTTAAATTAACAAAAAAAATCATAGAAGCAGGTTTGAATCCACAGCCATTTTAAGAAATGTCACATATTCTAGTCCCCTTTTTTTTTTAATAGACAAATAAACCATGCATATGAATGTTTCACATAAATATCAATGCGACAAATGCAAATGCAACAGCATAAATGATGGAGATTTTGTTTAATTACTAACAAATCTTGGCTATATTTTTAGCATTTAAGTCGAGATTGAACTGGTTAAAAAAAAAAAAGTCAAGATTAAGATTTAGGATTAGCTAAAAACTGTGGGAATAATGATTTCAAAATTCGAAGGAGGAGAAAAAGTGCGGAGAGAGAGAAACCTGCGCCTAGCAAGTAGCTAGGCTAATGTAGCCAGCTAGCTTCGCCACTGTTATATAAGTATAGCTCATAGTCCCATGGCAGAGCACAGCGCAGTAAACGCTTAATACTGAACTGTAGGCGCTCTACCAGCAAACCCTAGTGCTGTAGAAACCCCCATCGTAGCCGTACCGCACTGGATCCCTCCCTCCTGGTAACGGTAAGACTGTCTCCTCTGCTACGCCCGCCCTAGCTTTGCTTTAGGTGCAGCCGTCCTCTTCTTCATCGGGGGTTCGAGAGTTTTTGAACAGTAGTGCATGATCCACGGTAATGGCTTCGGCTTGCGTCAACAACATCGGAGTGTCACCGGAGAACTTCCTTGACTGTCCGCCGGCGAATTTCTCGTCATACGGATGGTTGAGCCCTCGAGTTTCATTTAGCCGTGAGTCCCGCGAAGGTGGTGACTCGTCGAAGCTTCCTGGCGTGATGTCAGAGCATTCCGTGGAGAAGCCTTCGGATCCGCCAGATAAACCAGATCCGGAACCTTTCGCTGGAGATTTTGAGTTTCGGCTTGAAGATCCAGTCGCCATGCTCCCGGCTGATGAACTTTTCTCCGATGGGAAGCTCGTTCCGCTTCAACTCTCTGTGGTTAAACCTTCTTCTACGAACGAGTCGACTTTGCCGGAGGTGAGGTCGCCAGAGGCGGCCAAGGTGGGGCGCTTAACTGATACTTCCAGTACGGATCCTTACTTGTTCTCGCCGAAGGCTCCGAGGTGTTCGAGTCGCTGGAAGGAGCTTCTGGGGCTGAAAAAGTTGTACCAAAATTCAAATGCTGTCAAGAGTGAGATGCAGAAAGCGACTTCGTCGTCTTCTTACACTAACAAGTCCTTGAAGCATTTTCTTCACAGAAGCTCGAGGTCGTCTACTTCCAACTTAGACAACGCTTCGCTTAGCCTTCCATTGTTGAAAGACTCAGACTGCGAATTTGTATCGATATCTTCTCGACTTTCTCTTTCGTCTTCTTCCTCCGGCCACGACCACGACGACTTCTCGAGTCTGTCCTTTGATTCGGACAAGCCCAACCCGAGCCCGATATCCATCCATCGGAACCCGAATCCAGCTCAGCCAAAAAAGAGATTCGTGAAGCCAAGGGCGGGCTCAATTGATAATAACCAAAGACCATTGGCAGATCATCCACTATGTAATCGGGCAGGAAGGAGCCCGATACGCCGAGCCGTCGGGGAATCTGGTGGGGTTGGCACCAGGGGAGTGTCCGTGGATAGCCCCAGAATGAACTCCTCTGGGAAGATTGTATTTCAGAGCTTGGAACGAAGCTCGAGTAGTCCCAGTAGCTTCAATGGTGGACCCAGGTTTAAGCATAGGGGAATGGAACGATCGTACTCGGCCAATGTGAGGGTAACTCCGGTTCTGAATGTTCCGGTCTGTTCGCTGAGAGGATCCTCAAAATCCGGTTCAGTATTTGGGTTTGGCCAACTTTTTTCATCCCCTCAAAAGAAAGAAGGCGCTGGCAGTGGTGGAAACAAGGGCCATCCATACAGCAACAGTAGGCACCGCGTTGATCGAAATTAAATTGATAATTATAAAACACCGTTACGGCGTTAAGAAGAGAGGGTAACATTTGGGCTGTCTTTCTTAGTTTACCCCACAAATTTCGGTTCATGCTCTTGATTTTGAATGAATGAAAATATTGCAGTTATTGTTAATTGGGATTAACTTGCTCGTTTTTTAGTCATTAGATATCATGTAAATATTCGGGGTAGTAGGATTTGGATGTTCTTGAATGATAGCGGCGACGATGACGATCCAGTTCTTGTTTCTAACTGGTTGAGCTTTGAACGCCCATCTGGCTGCTTTTTGTTATCTTCTGACCTGAAAGTTATGGAATCTCTCTGATTTATGCTTCTCTTTGGCTTTTCTTTTTTTTTTTTTCTGTATTTTTAAAATTGTTTTTCTTTTTTCTTTTCAAAGATCTGCGCATCATGTTGAGCTTATCTACTCTTGTCGGCTTCGCTGTTTCTTTATGATTTATTTGTTGTTTATTTGTTGTGCAAGTCTGGAAAATGATGCTAAAATTCAAAGATATCGAAGGCGCAAACAATGCTGAGTTGTTTTTGGTTTTGCACGTCAGACTGACTGATCCCAAACTTGTTGTCTATTTTTAAATTATCAGCTCTATTTTCTGGGGTTGAACTAAACAAAAAATAAGTTTATTGTTGCTAAACGACAAATCAAAATGAAGACGATATGAGTCATCTACGTCGTGTGATGTTAACGGTGGGGGGTCACTCTCACCCGAGTGGTTGGGCAATGGTGGTCCTCATCTGACTCTACAGTGACTCTCTACAGAGGATTCAATTGGGGTGGGACAAGTTTCTCAATCAAAATGTGTACTTTGGATGAGGACATGCCCCTTAAGTATTAAGTCCCATATTGGATTACCATCGTCTGATGATTTTTTTTAACATGATATGACTTCTGGTTTTCCCTTAGTATACATCCGAGACTTCTGTGGCTGGGTGAGCAGCATTTACAAATTTGGTTATCTCTGCCCTATGAATTTTCTGGATAAATTTGCTTTTGCAATTGAAGTGAGTAAGATTTCGGACAATATTATCCTACTATGGGACCCCTTTACTAATTTGTCCCGGGAGGACCATTTTCCTCTTCGTTGTTAGCAAAATTAATATTTGATAGTGAATAATTGCCTATTGCTCCAAGTTCAGTGCCTCTTGGCCCGTTTAACTCATTTTGTTTATTGATTTTTTTTTTTAAATGGGTGATCGAAATAGATTCGTTACGTAGTACTTGGTTATAAAGGGTACAAGGGGGTGGAATTCGGTAAATTTTTGTTGCTTTTTTTTTTCAAACAACTTGTAATTTAAATTTGACTTTCCTTAAGAAAGATAATTGTATATTATTTTTTCATAGAAAAAATCCTAACTGTATAGTATTTTAATAGTTCCTTAAAAAAATTTATAAATGCTTTTCATTTTTTGCGATATTAATTTATCTCTTGTGATGACATGTTATATTTGATACATGTACATTTTAAAGTTCATTTTAAGATATACTCTTTGGGTCCTTTTTATAAATTATTTTTATTAATTTTATTAATACCAATACAAAAAAAGTAAAAGAAATATAAGTGTATAAAATTTTAAATATACCCTTATATAATAAATTTAAAAAATAATATTATATTACTTTTTTTTCTCTTGTAATTTTAAAAATATTTTTTTAATATTATGCAAAAAGCTGTATCATAATTTATAAATAAAATTAAATAAACTTTTTAAAACTTATTTTATAAAAGAGGATTAGGGGGGCATGCTAAAGATTAGCATCTTGTTCTTTCCCTGAAAGAATCCACTCAATCGACAAGATGATGATATTACACGACTACTTGATTCGATGAAGCTCATTTGAAATGTCCAGCCAGATTCGCTGGGAAAAAGGAAAAAGTTACCCAAATTTCATGCCTGCGCTTGTGGATGATTTTTATTGTACATGCATGTCAGGCGATGAAATTAAATTAAATTATTTACAAAATTGGTAAATTATATACGCTTCCATACAATTTTATACAAATATTTTAAATTTATTTTCTCCAGACATATACCATCAAGAGGCTTATAATTCATTAATTCTAAGCATGTTTTACGTGTAAATAAATATATTTAGTTTTCTGGGTGAAACAAATATAGTTATCTTTTTTAATAAACAATTGAAAAGAAATACTTCTTCCATATCAAATTATAAAATACTTTTAAATAAAATTTTATATACTAATAAATCTTATTAAATACACTTAACAATCTTATCTTTTCAAAATAAAAATATAAACTTTTAAAAATATCCATCATTTAATATAATGAAAAGAAAATAGATGAAAATTAATTATACAAAGAGAAAAGGATAATATTAAAATTGGTGTATTTAATAAAACCTTAATCTACTCAAGATATTTTATATTTTAAAATGAATTTTTTTTAAAGTATCTTATAATGGGATGGAGTGAGTATTTAATTACTTGTTTTAATTAAAATAAGTATTTTTATTCTTATTTTTATTTAAACTTTTTTATTATAAACACTTGAAAAATAAATATTTAATTAAATTATTTTAAGAAAAATAGTTTTAAACAGTACTTTCTCTATTCCAAATTATAGAGCAGCTTTGAAGGTGTTTCGTTGTACCAAAATATAAAATAATTTGATAAAAATAAAGTTTTATCAATAATACCTCTTGAATATTACCCTTCATGTGGAAAGAAAACTAGAATAATTGTAGTGTGATACTTAAATGTGTGGATTTAAAGTTATATTTAATGAAGGGTGTTTTTAAAAATTTATATTTTTATTTTAAAATAATAAATTTATAAAATCTTATTATTGAACTATATTAATATGTACTATAATCTTATTTCAATTTATCTTATAACTTGATATTGAGAGCAGCATCAAGTGCTGTAGGTATTGAACCAAGCTTACCGGAGGGAGCAATCTAGTGTGCAAATGTCTATTAATAATTGAAGACAGGCGCATGTGAGAGAGCGGGGGTTTATGTGAGGAGGGAGGAGTAATGACGGGAGATAAAAGATGAGCGGAATTTGTGATCGAAGGGGCACCAGGCTAAAGAGGCAAAATTATTGCGCTTAATTTTTTTGTGGCGACGGAAAGTTCAGATAAGTTGGTTGCTTGAAATTCATGGCAGTTTTGTTACGTTTTTACATTTAAAAGGTGTTTACAGAAGTACTTCCGACAAAATTTGATCCTACAACTATATAATTTAAAAGTTAAATTCTTATTAATTAGATTAATTTTTATTGATCACACTTAATTTTAAATATTAATCTCTTTATTTTAAATTATAAAATAATTTTTTAATTTTAAAATATAAGACATTTTGAGTAAATTAAGATTTTATTAAATATATAAATTTTAATATTTTTTTATTTTTTATAATTAATTTTTATTATTTTTATTTTTAATATATTAAATAATAAATATTTTTAAAAATTTATATTTTTATTTTAAAAAATAAAATTATTAAATATATTTAATTATATTTATTGACATGTAAAATTTTATTTATAATTGTCTTACAAATTAAGACAAAAGAAGTACCATTTATCAGTACACACGTTTTTAAGGACATTTTTTGTTTTTTCGAAGAGGGAACGCAGAGAGAATGGGAAACATGTGAGTGGGTTAGGGGCAAGCATCCGTTGTCGTTATCCGCACAGTCCAGACTCCAGAGGCTCAAAAGCAGAGAGAAGCGGGCATTGTCCTCCGGGATAATCCTCCCCCTCCTTTCTCATATAATGGGGGACCCCCTGAATTCCTCTCCTCGCCTCTTAACTAGCCACAGATTTTTTTTTTATTTGAAAAAGAGCTTATTTATTTATACATGCATTTTACAAAATTTAAAAATTATAAATAGGTCTCTTAAAATTTAAAATTAAAATTTAGATACTCTTATTAAACAGATATATATTACATCAATTAGATAATTTACAGCTACTTCCTCAATAATTTATAGTTATAATTTTAATTTTTTTATAACTGTAATTTTATATATTAAATAATTAAATTAAATTGATTAGTTTATAATTTAATTATTGAATATATGAATTATAGTTATAAAAAAGTTAAAATTATAATTATAAATTACTGATGAAGTAGTCGTAAATAATTAATATTAAACTTTGTTAGTTATGCATGATTGTTTAAATATTAAATATGTGAGGTTATAGTTGTAAAAAATTAAAATTACAGTTATAAATTGTTAATAAAATAGTTATAAATTAATTATTTTATTGATGTAATATATGTTTAATGGGAGTGTTATTAGCTTTGCAGTTTAATTTCAAATTGCACTTAGATTTTAAGAGAGATTTCTATGGTCTTTAAATTTAATAAGACTTATTTGTAAATAAGTTTACTTCATAGAAACTATACATAATTTCCCTGTTTTTTAGCCAAATAAGTTGAATCCTCAATCATTTAAAAATAATAATATTCTCTCTATTCTATAAGATATTTTAATTGAATTATATTCTTCTTAGTTAGTTAACTGTCTTGAAATTGATATTATTCTTTTATATTTATTTTATTTAATTAATATCTCAATTAAAGGTGAAAGTTGAGTTATTTATTTATTAATATTATTTTTTAAAAAACTTATTACTCATACATTAAAAAAAATTAAGAATGCCTTTTCTTTGAACATATAGTCTCGAAAAGAATGTGTTATATTTTTTGACAAACGAAGTACTAATCTCTTCCCATCTGTTAGATAATTTTGAAGTATAGTTTTGTTCATATTTATAGAAAACAATATTAATCTTTGTATAAAGTATTTATTATGATTTTTCAGTTATAAGCTTGTCAAAGATTAGAGAAAATAGATAAGTCAATTTTCCGGAGTAAGTATATTATTAGGAAAAAATAATATATCTATTACTTATCTACGGGTTTAGAAATTGACACATGGAATATAAAATATTACAAGGAAACGGGGGGGCTAAAATTAATTCTTGCACACTTACAATTAAAAGCTAATGCGTTATATATATATAAAAGACTATCACATGGGAGCAAGTACCCTTGCATGCGCCCTTTTTATCCGTCCTTGCTTGTAACTAAATTTACCTGCTTTTTCTTGACATTGAAATAATATTTTCTTACTCGAAAAAGCATTTATGATCCTAACATAACACGGAGGTAGTATCACTTTTTAAATTTATTATAACATATTTAATAAGAATAAATATAAAAAAATAAAATTAATTTAAAAATAAATAATTATTTAATAAAAAATAAATTTTAATTAAAAATATTTTATATTTTTAAATGAGTACTTGAAATAGGCTTTTGGTCCAGATATTGCCAAAGGCCCCAG